ACGCGCATTTACATCTACTTACCGACTGTTTTAAAATCCGGTTTCATCCCTCAACTGCCTTGACCATTGAAAAAACCGATATTTTACGAGAATTGCACTGGCCGCACCAAGCAACATTTCGTGATGTAATGACATGAAATCTGGCCACGTTATGGCAGGGCAGAAGTTGGTCAGAGGAATTTCGTACAGATGGGTCCCCTAATTCCGTTTGACCTTTTTAATCGAAGTCTTCTCTACTAGCATTTGATGAACCGACATCTTGCTAAAGGCAGAGGTGACATTGGCAGTATTTCTTTTAAAAAGGAAAGGTCCACAGTCGCCTCGTCATTCATCATAAAACTGTCATTGGGCATTGTGACATTTTTCTAAGGAACGAAAATGTTGAGCTCGAACCCATTCAGGACCATGTGGTCTCATTGCTGTCATTCCGTGATTGATTAACTGTCGCAGCTAACCTTCATATTCGGAGATCGTTTCATTATTTACAACCGGAGGACGTGCCAGAAGGCCAACAGCTAAACACACTGACACCGAGATCGCTATAGTTACCAAAGTGGAATTAAAATATTCTACAACGCGACCAACTACTATACTTAATAAGCTATGCTAAAGCTAACTGCTACACAGAAACTAGTCAACAACTTTTGTAATTCACGTTCCAATGATGTCAAGAGATTATATTTATACTTGCCTTTAAACAGCCAATAGGTATGGCCTTCCTTAGTCGCGTTTTGTTTCAGGAAAGATAGAATGTTTTGAGCAACGTCGCGGACTAACTCCGGATTAAAACGACCATCAGGCAGATTCGGAACATCTTCGGTTTTTATCACCTCATATTTCTAAAATATTCAATGAAATACTTTAACATGGAACAACAAAGTTCCAAAACTTAAAGTTGCTAATGAAAAGAATTAGCAACTGATGGCAAAAACTTCTGAATCGCAAATACCTACAGATTCCCAGACGTTTCAACGTTTGCTATTGTTCCATAAGATATTCAATGATTTCTTACTAATCATCATGAACAAGCAACCACTGAGTGCCCGGTACGTATATCATAGCAAATGATGGGAAAGCAACCAACATTCCACAGGAAATC